GGCCAGGGAATGTTCTGCTGTCTCAGGAATGTTCTGCTGTAGCAACACGAGCAACCTATGGGCGGGAATTATCTTGCTGAAGCTTGAAGTTACTTCTCTGGCCTTGAATGAACGACTGTACATGAGGCCCACTGATCTGTTCCCTGTAGGGCACACCCTTCTGATTGGCCATCAGATGTGATGCTCCCCCACACCATAACGCCCTCGCCACCAAACTGTCAACGTTGCACAACGCACGCGTCAGCATAACGTTCACCTCGACGTCTGTACATCCTTGCTCTGCCACCTGAGCTGTCCAGATGAAATCTCGACTCATCAGTGAACAAAACACCATCCCAATCATCAAGACGTGCCTGTCGGTGACGTTGCAGCAAAATTGGACGTAATGCCGGCCGTCGGGTCGGATGTGTGCTTCCTTGGTTCCGTACAGTCCTGGAACTGATTGGAATTAAGCCAGGAATGTCCGAGCAGTCAAACTGGCAGTCTGGAATCGATTCCTTAGATGGGTCAGCCGAATGTGGTTGTCCTGCTGACTCGTGGACAGCCCGTCCCCTCGTTGACAGCCGGTCCTAGGCAAATCGCTCCTGTTTCAATTCCCAAATGTCGAAATGATGTCGAAAAGATTAGATCGTGTCATGAAGTTTCATTCAAAGTGCTTTTCTACATGTTTATTTACGGTTATTTTGTTCAGTTTATAACCGGACAAAAGGTTTTATCTCGAGATCCGTGATACAAGTTAAACCTGTATTTTATATATGTAACATGGTCTACGCGTAACAGTATATTGGGAGACAACCACTTACACGTACATGCTGACTGCACTGTCCCTGAAACGACAAGGTAACTACATGTACTTTAAATAGCGAAAATAATTGAATTCCTTTAGAGCAGCATGAAGTAGGTCGAGAAATGACTGATTTAAGTCGAGAACAACAACATGAAATACATTAACAAGCTCAGATGGCATTTACAATACCGTTATACGTCAGTGTATAGCGTTATACATCAGCCTTTCCATTTACAGTTTATCAGTGTTCAAATAAAGTATTCTGTGTACTGTTTATGTCCCTCAGTACAGGTAGCAGTTGAAACTTTCGGTTTGAGCTTTGACATTTACCCTATGAAAACAGGGAAACATGATAGCAGATCCAAGAATAACGCCTGGCGAGTGCCGACTCTTATGAAGGCCTGGCTGACATTTGCCCACATTGCTGTTGGTGGTTATCAAGGTGTGAATGACAAATGGGTAATCCACTGAGGTCTAACGACCAATGGCTGTCAGGCTCAGTGACTCCACGGCTCACACTGACCCATGGAGAAATCACTCATCCGTGGTTAGACAATCCAGGTATAGTCAGGGCCTAAACATTTGACGAACCAGGTTGTAATCGTCGACATGTGGATGAGAGTTGCACACATGGGAGATTCTCCCTATGGCGAGTTTGTCCATTGTTAAAACATATAATATCAGGTGTGACATAATTTCACACAATAAATACATCATTATTTTTTTGCATTTAATGAACCAAGGCTCTTCTCTGATAGAGTGGCATCAGCAAAATATGTGTTTCGTCAAGCGAGTTTCCGTTAGTGTCATATCTTGATCATTATTGCAGTTATTATTGTGCACGAAAGGGAAATCTCCTAAAGATGCCTAGCGAGTGTTGATGGTTATCGAGGTGTTGATGACAGGTGCACAAATGGACAAACCCTCCCCGTGATGCCGGGCGAGTGTTGATATTTGTAAAATGTCTCGCTTGCATAGGTTATTTACTTTTGACTTTGAGGTGCTTCGTGTAAGATATATATTGAAAGTATCATGTTAGCTGTGGGTTTAATATGATTTGGTAAACAAGTCTCTTCTATTAGCTGGTGATGTGTTTGAGTGTATGGCCCTGAAACGTGTTTTCGATAAGATGAAGAGGATGTTTGACTGTTATTAATATGGTACAGTACAATTTATTTTGGATATTAATTCCCCCACAACAGTAGAAAACAACACATATCTACATGGATGAAATCGTCCCACAGACACGCACCAAATCTCTGATCATGATTTCGAATTCGTGCCCAGAAGAGATTCCGGAATATTATTGGTCTCAGTCGGCATGTTTGAAGCAGGTTCATGTTTGGGTAAGCCTACTGGCTGATTAAGCCGCCTCGTAACATCAGTGTCAATAGTAATATCAATATCAGTGGTTTGTGGCCACCTAAAAATTACATTACTTGACGTTAAAGCTCCCACGTTGGGCCCCGTCTGCTGTGACTTACTGTTCAAAGTGTGACTTACCGACATGTGCATGAACCCTACTATTAGCGATAAGGCTATTATTGAATGCAAATCCAGTAAACTGTTTTATAGGACGTGCAAACAAGGAAAATAGTAGCTGATATGAATAGGTGAAATGCGAAGTTAAAATATGATATTAGCTTTGACATTGGTCACACAATTTCCAGGAAAACCATTCGCCTGTTTATCTCGGGTGTATTTTCACGCACGAGAGCCATTAAAGTGTGTGTACAATGCATTTGGTTCCGCCTACTCAGGGTATACAGAGCTGACATTGATGTTTTCTTTCCGCCCGTTTATCTGTCAGGAAGAAGAATGTTGTTAAAGATATTAGTGTTATGTGCATTTGCATTGTGTAGACAGTATCGCGTGCGTGAGTGAGATATACAGCCCACGTCGATTCTAGCAGTGGATTAAATTGGAGTAGACCTTCGAACCCGTTTACCACAGGGCCACCCTTCCCATTTTAGTGACATAATACTGTATGCATGGGAATCTAATCACTGCCAATCATTCTAGTTGCTTGATACATGTGTTTGCCAATAACAGGTATCGTTGTAATGTAACTCAGTCGAAACAACGTCTGAACGAAAATGCAGAGGTACTTGTTGAGATATGTACACCATCCCTTGATTGTTACATTGTCCTTTCCGTTTGGTTTTCTAAATACCCGTCTCTGTTTGGTAAAAGTCGAGATTGAAACGTTTAAGTATGTCTTATTTGTAAACATGGCTTCTTGTTGAAGAGTTACTTGTGTACACGACACGAACAAGCGTTAAGTGAGAAACACTTGCCAGTGTGTTTAAGCTCGGCAGTCGAGGAATACTGGATGACGTACGAGAACATCGAAATATCTCCAGTATAATCCAGTCATTTCACGGTACTGAGCATCTGTTGCCTGCAGTGTTATGTTCATTTCCCTTTAGAATCGATCCATTTAACATGTAGACAAAACACAATAGCTGGGATGGAAAAAGCACACACAACTGTGCTGCACTTGTCGACTGAATGCCTTCTGTACAACCTTGAACGTCATGCCCCTGTATAGGCGGTAAAGTGTAAGCTGGGGGCTTGCCGGTTGAACGCGTAAGCGCTGCGTTATTCTTCAGGTTTCTGTCAAGTCATTGTCCCCAGATATCTTGATAATAGTAAACACTCCTACCCGGCAAACTGTGCTATGTTTGTATCAAGAGATGTATGATGTGCAGTTATTTTAGGACAGTTAATAACCGACCTGATGACCCTTAAGCAGGATGGTTGATCCAATGCAAATAGTTCATGTTGTAACTTAAGATACGTGCAAACGTTAAGTTTTCAACAAAACGATATTCCGGGAGATATTTGAAAGCTTCATTACTGTGTGTGTCCCTCCTGTGTGATGTTGTTGCAGGCGTGTCTTGCCACTGATACACTGGCGACTGGAATAGCTGTTGTAAGGCTCTTTATAAGTTCGCAAATTCCTAAACTGGTGTGTTATTAATCACGTGTTGCTGTTGAAAACAGACTGATGTGGAGTACATAACCAGGAATAAGAGTCGACAATGGATTGTGGACGTGATGATATTGATACTGCAATTAACACTGTAAACAGATTTACTACCAGCCGAAATCAAAGCTTTGTGAAGTGAGGTGAGGTGAAATTGGGTGTAACGTCGTGCTCGAGAATATTTCGCTCATATGACGACGTGCATGCGTGTGTATGTGTATGTGTGGCTGCTTGTACTAGCCCAGACTGAAGCTAGTTTTATAGTGCTAGCCCACTGAGATACCATGCCGCAGTGAAGCATGAATACCCCACTCAAACACATTATACTGACTCCGAGCCGACCAGTTCTTGTTGTACCCATTAATGCCGAGCGCCAGGCAGGGACGGTACCATATTTTACCGTTTTTTGGTATGACGCGGTCGGGGATCGAACCCGCGACCGTCCGCTCTCCACTCATGTGAATTTGTATTTATAGTGAAACACATTCCCTGTAAATGAGATATGTGGATGGCACTGTTACTCATTTTCAGCACCTCAGGCAGTGCTCATGTCGGGATACAGAAACATACGCTGGTTGTGCACGGATGACTCTGTTGTCCTAACATATGTGAAGGGTTATATTACATCCCTTCTATATTATTACAACAATACTCTATCATGCATATAAACTGTTGAGACAACTTCCTCGTTGCACAAAAATACCCCAGTGGAACATATAATCGGGTACTTAAAACAAGTCAGACCGGTATTTGAGTTGAATTTAGTAACCTCACTGAGACAAATTGGTTATGTTGACACAAGAGCATAGACTGAACAAACGACACAGGATTCCCTTGTATACAGGGCTTGTCTCTTTCACTGCCAGCTGCGGACTGTGTAAGAGAGTATACGTATTGATCCTTGACTCAACCTGGTGTGTTAGGAAATAACGTTTCGCTTCCTGGTCATGTTGTATATACCAGGTAATACCACTGTACGATACTGGCCATGTATGTAGCTGTTGACCTTGCGTCGACACACATGCTGTGTTTTGTTGAAACTTGTGAAAACATAGAGGGTAGTGTGTGTTACTAGAGCCCTGTGCTGTGTTTCGATACGACAGTGTAAGACATCACACGCTGTGTAGAAGGATATACAGGAAGACATACACTGGGACGAGTGACACTACAATGAAGATCTGGAGCCTATTTGTCTGTGTGTGGATAGGCGTTATCCGTGGAGCCATGCTAGATAAAGGTGAGTATGAGTGTATATGCTTGTGAAATGTCGACCCCTCAAAGTACACACATACAAATAACTATTCCGTGTTAAGGCTAGTGGAATTAGTTGAAAGCCTTATGAGCTCCCCAGTCATTTAATGTACATATACTACAAACAAGCTGCAAGAGACGTCTATCTTCCATATGCACTAGACTGTTGTGTTTGGGCGTTGAATTAAACATGGTGTTGGTGTGTTTCAGCACCCTTGTTTTCGTTGTTGTTGACAATGTTTCATTTCCCTCAAACTCAACGAATATTGAATCAGCTGCTTCGCTGCATGTACCAACACGTCGTTTAAAGTGTCCATCAAGCACACAAAAAGTTGCATTTATCTTAGAGTATAAGTGACCTCACCACATTTAAGTTTATATATGACTATCAATTTTTAGGGTGTTCCCGTACCTTTTTTTTGTAGTATATATTTGACCCAACATGCTAATCATTCGTCACACTGAAGGCACCGTATTTGATTCCCAAGTAGACAAAAAAGACTACATTGAGTGAAGCCAATTGGTGTAACAACGGTGTCCGCCCGGGAAGGATACAATTGAAAAAGGCACATTTCAAGAACATACCTCAGTGCCGCGAAAGAGACAATGAGTAAGGGAATCAATACCGTCTTCTCAAATAACCGTTACCCAATGATCACAATGGATTAAAATTGTATCGTTTTAGTGACTTGTCCTTTGTTTGCTGTTAGGTATCACATATGTGTCTGTTTATACGTATATCTGTGCAATAAATGGTCATTCTTCTAAATTGTATTTTTTTAGTTTTTAGCATGAATATAAACGTAATAACTCAGGCAACAATAGCTCTTATCTCAAAAAGTTATCAGAAAAGGATAAAACATTGAACTAATTTGACACTCCCATAAGTTAAAATGCTTCAAAGAAATAATTGTTTTTACAATCATTAATAATTCGTAAAATGTGGGTAGAGGGCAGAAGTTTCACCAAGGACATGTGGAACCACTTTGGGAATGATGGTCATAAGACCAATGATAACCTTGAGGGGTGGCATCACAAGATCAACCAGTTAGCCCGAAAGTGCCACCCGGACATTTTTTAGATGTGACGTAAAACCCAACTCAACATAACTGAGATTGTCAAAGTGTTCAAACGCGAACAGCCATTTACGGAAGTTGCAATCTTGAGACCGTCGACCTGCTCTATTTACAAAGATCTATACTAGGCTATATTATGTGTATGCATGTGATTGATCCTGAGAATTAATTATGAGAATTGATGATGATGTGAATTATATATGAGTTATATGAGTGTTATTATACTATGCCTGTTATGATTGTGAAACCCCCATTGAATAAAACTGAAAATAGATGGTATATATCTTTGCTTTTCTATGTTAAATACGGTACCATATTACGTGGCTTAACAATGTTGTGATAGCATTGCCGCCAAAGCCACATTCCCCCGTTGTTCATCCATGTCCCTTGTCGGGAACGCCACACGAAGTTCAGCCTGTTTTTTCTCAAATGTGGCCTTGCCGGGCTGGAACCATAACAACACGTAATATGGTATGCGTAGTCTCGGTATTAATTATTGATTGGTGTTTTAGTACCATGCCATACACTAATTCAGTGTATTTTGCAGATAACGTATCTGAATGGAGTTATGTGAAAAGTAATAAACCTGATTAGGGTAAAGATAATTGACAACCAACACATCCTATAGGATAAACTGTTCTCGAAAGTCTAATGATGATTCCTTTCCTTCCCCAGTTGAATTTGCACTGACAAGCTCACCATTATCAGCAACAGACGCAGAACCCTTCACCTTGACCTGTAGCATCACGTCTGGTTCTGTGGTAAACATAGCATGGTTGCAGAACAACACAACAAAGGTCTTTACGCAGCTGCCCGACAGTTGTACTAAGCAACAACCCCCTACATGGAATAACATCAGCCGTTTCAGTGAGAGCTGCAATGACACGGTCCACAGTTTAGAGTTTAGGTTCAACTCTACTACAGACCAGGGAGGATGGCAGTGCGGAATGATTGTAAACATGACCTACATGTACCCGAGAAGCAACATTTATAATATAGGTGGGTATGACGTATTCACTGTGTGTCATTTTATATCTTTGACAATACAGTAAATTGTCAGCAATGCAATCATCTATAGCCATGGAATTAATAAAACGCGTAAAATTTACGTAAACTACAGACACGTGCTTTGTCATTCCAAATAATACGATCTGCTTTCAGGTGTTGCAAGCTCTGTTATGTCAACAACGACCCGGTATGTGGGGACCTCATCTGAACCTGTGGCAATGACGTCACAGAAAGGTAGTTTTTCATTCCGCACTCAGGGTATTTACAGGGAACCCCAAGACTGACCACTTGAACGTTAACAAAGTATGCTCATAGTCGGACTTAACGTATTACGTAATGTTATCATACACATATTTATCAATCACCATACGATATAGTTTACAAGAACATGGAAAATGTGTAGAAAGATGTAAGTTGTATTAAGATTGTCTCACTCTATACATGTATGTTTATTAAGATTGTCTCCCTCTTTACATATATGTTATTAAGGATTCTGCAAAAGACTAAGTACTGTATGTCATATAAGACGTAAATCAGTTGATTATTCCCATTTAATGACGGATTACTTACAAAATCAGTTGGTTGGAGCTGCGGCGGAATGACAGCAACAGTCTAACCGAGTAACGTCATTACTGGAATGTCATGAAAAGGATGAAATATTTAACTGTAATTTTGAAATATTTGCTAAAATAAATAATAAATCACACAACTAGATAGGCCTTGATGTGCTAAGAATGTACAATGCCATTTCGAAGGTGGTCAAATATAACATTATGAACAACCGCGTAACTCTGATGTCAGTGACAGACGTGTGCTCTTTGAAAACAAACAACATTCTGAGTAAGGATTGTGACACATTATCGAACACATCATTTTTTACAATTTCGAACCTGGGTCTATTTCAATTTCATTTAAACCATTAAACAATGCGATTTTCTGAAATGAATTTTAATCTTCATTTCCAAGAAGTATATTCACCATACACACAGAGATAAAAACTCATTTCTCAGGTAAGGAGGAACATGCCCAACTATGCACTCAGTGAGCTGTCTACTTTCAGGTATTGCAAGTCCTGTCACGTCAACTCAGTCTTCAACAACCACCGGGTATAGGGAGACAATGCCAAAATCTGGGACAGTGACACCACAGAGAGGTAATTCTCTCTGACATGTACATATCGTACTCAGTTCCTATTCCAGCTCCAGTGAGGAAATAATTAAGAACACGCGCTAATGCGTTCAGAAATTATACAACTATATATAGACATGACATTCAGGAAGATTGTGACACTGTGTTATTTAATTACCCATTAAGAAACAGTTAGCGTCTCTGTCGAGTATGTTATCATAGGTGCATGCTGTTTCCTACAGGAAATCCTTGAAATTTTCTAAACTGATCGGCATCGGTAATAAGACGTTTACTTTAGGCGACATGTGCCAATTGTGCCAGGCTTAACACTCTGAATGAAGACGCACAGGCAGACATGACAATAATCCCTAATATGAGAACGAGAATTAGTGAGTCAGTTAATATTAAGAAAGTCACATCGGTAATATTTCAGCCATATCGTGACTAAAACAAGTTATACACTAATAATATATTTGAAACCAAAACCTGTCAACAAAGGAAAGAAATATAAAAGATTATCACAGATATAGATATAGGTCTAAAACTAGTACGTGAGCATTAGAAAGTGTTCATAACAATACATCCAAACACTTGACTCAAGATCAACAGCATCCAAATATAGGCCACCACACTAGGGACGAGAACGAGAATGAGTGAGTGAGGTAAGAGTTAACTCATCTCGGCAATATTTCAGCCATATAGTGACGGGAAACGTAGAACGAGAATGATTGTATAGAATATGTTGTTAGAAGTGCTTAACACCAGTCAGTGATTGTAGTGTAGCCTCAGTCAGTAATATTCCTGCTTCAGTATGACGTTGTCAGAAATAAGGTCACCTCATCAACCAAGTCACTGATCACTCATCTGTGTGGTCGCTTCTCATAGCCAGCAGCAGTTGATGGGGATCTGTTACAAACCAGGATACCTACGAGGCATTTTACAGCAGCATCTGACAATTCAAATTCAAAATTAACACGACATTAGATGGTAAGGGATATCTATTCACTGAAAAGTGTTGCGTGTCAAGACATTGCTGTCTATATTCTTGGTGTGAAGCACGTATCAGCGATAGGACTACATCCTGCCATTTCCGTTAGCATAACCCATTAAACATGTTAAAAGCAACGTATTGAAGCACATGTAGTATTTCAATCTTGACATTACACGCTACGTCTGAATATACCCTGATCCAAGCAAAACACTGTCTTTCAGCCTCCACAGATATCAGTGATTCAGACACCATCTACATCGTGGTTGGTGCTGTAGGTGGAGCTGTTTTGCTTGCCGTCGTTGTCGTGGGCATCGTGTGTATCCGACGGAGAAGACAATCAGCCCGTGTGTATTTGTGTTGAGATTTAACATAAGACTTGTTGACATCTAACATGGGTAAATGCCTTAAACAATCGTGTCTGATCGTATAGGCCGTCTAAATACTGGCAATGACGTTATATACTAGTATATTCGCCGTTTATAACTAGGTATTTCTAGCCATTGTCAGAATTATTTCTTGTTTATATGTGCAGCCTAACTAAATGTCCGTTTTCAGATCAGAAGAACGATATGAAAGGGAAGAGAAACGTGGAAGCGTGAGTTAAACATATTGCAATCACGCACACACACTCGCCCAAGTACACAAGCTGTACACAAAACAATGAGTGAGTGAGTGAGTTAAAATTTTAAGTCACATCGTCAGTATTTCAGCCATATCGTGACTATATCAAGTTATTAATAATAAATATAGGTAAAGTATAAAAACCTGTTAACGGAAGACAGTAAAACAACCAGACTATCACAGATATATATTTTAAAACTATTAATTAAAGTTATAACATTGTAACCATACATGACAAGACAATACAATAACAGGATGTAGATCGCCAACAACTGAAGGTAGATCACCAACTAGGGACCGTGGGGACATACAGTATACTTTGCTACCTGCATGGACCCTAGCTGGATTTACACCCATCCCTTCAGCTCCTGGCGAGTGTAGGGAAGTTTAGCCAGAATATAAAATAACAAACACAAAACAATTAGTGAGTGAGTGAGTTAAGATTAAGAGTCACATCGGCAATATTGCAGCCATATCGTGAGTATAATAATATATACTCTAATAATAAATAAAAGTTATTTCGTAAAATCTGTCAACAAAGGACAGTAAAATAACTATGTTATCACAGGTGTAAATATAAAACTAGCATGTCATCATTAAAACATTTATTACAATACAGGACAATGCAATATAAAAACCGGGCTGTAGGTAGATCACCATACTAGGGACCATGGGGACGCACAGTGCTTTTGATACCTGCAATGGCCCTAGTTGGATTTACACCATCCCTTCAGTCGTTGGCGATTGTAGGCACATTTAGCCATAATTTGAAATAACAAATATAATGTGATTAAAAAGCATGGTTGAGCTAAATTGACTTTGAAAGTTTTTGGACTTACGTAACCTCTCAGGAGGATAACAATTTTATGATAATTTAACCCCCTTTGAGGATACACCCACTAACAATCGCAGTTGCGCATTGATACTACGATTTATTGAATAACATTTATCTATCTACATAGACACGTTTACAGGCTGTTTGTTGAAGATTATTTGTAATGTTGTCACCTATATAAGATATTTCAACTTTTCTTCCAGCACTCCAGATTATCAAAACAGGACAAGCTGCCACACAGGTAGGTTTAGCGTATTGTCATTTGTATAAACCAGTGACAAAATAACCTAATTTGGAATCATGCTGCAGGTGGCAACTGTGGTACAAGACCTCATTCCCATGCATAGTTCCTATGATAATGTTGTACCCGTATCCAAGAATTGTTATTATACTTATCTAAACCCGTGAAGATTCGGATTAGAATTGGTTAAAGCAACTCATGCTTGTGTGGTCAGGCTCGCTAACTAGGTTGACACTTGTCATCGTATCCCAATTGTGTAGAACGATGCTCATACTGTTGATCACTGGATTGCCTGGTCCAGACGCGATTATTTACAGACCGCCGTCATATAGCTGGAATATTGTTGAGTGCGTCGTTAAACAACTAACAAAACATAACAACCTATTATACAGCAAATACTTATCTGTGTGAGAGTTCTTTTGACGTCTCTCAGTCTCTCCAGTCAACGTTACCCTCGCAATTTTTCAAGATTTATATTCCACGTTCTATAAGTTATTTTATATGTTTCAGTCGAAAATGATTTGTATGTAAAGGCACGTGGTATGACCCCAATCCACGAAGCTGAAAATCTGGATGACTTCGTTATGTCAGGTGACACTCTGTTATTACATATCTCCAAATGTTACAATGAAGATTTGAAAGGTCGGTCTGACCCCATTCTAAAATATTCGCTAAACTATATTTGCTTAACAGTTACAATAACAAAAGTGGACATGTTTTCTTGAATAATAGTATTGCTGTTTATATTCATTCATTTAATTAACGAGATGCATACGCGAGAGTGGATATGGCAGCTGCGAACACACGCACACCACGTGTCCAGGGTGCGTCATGTGACGTCGACGTAGACAGCCTGTATGCTAAACCCGATAAAAGCAGGTCTTCAAATGTTCAACAAGGTAAGGCTGATCTATTGTTTAGTGTCGAGGTCTGATTCGTGATATTATGCATGAAAGGAGTTTTTCTATGATGCAGTCATAAATAGAGGTAAACGCGTAGAACGATCTGTCCAGGTCAGAATTGTAACTTATGTGTGTTATTAGAGACGAAGGGGCGGTTGGGGTAGCCTAATGGTTGAAGCGTTGGCTCGTCACGCCAAAACCCCGGGTTCGAATCCCCACATGGGTACCATGTGTGAAGCCCATTTCTGGTGTCCCCCGCCGTGATGTTGCTGGAATATTGCTAAAAGCGGCGTAAAACTAAACTCAGTCAGTCAGTATTAGAGATTAAAAAAGGGACAGGGCCATCGATTATGTACATACCACCGTATAGCATGTAGCTGAAACATTGCTGAGTGTGGGTTAAACAGTGAGTGAGTGGGTTTAGCTTTACGCCGCTTTTAGCAATATTCCAGCAACATAACGGCAAACAACCAACAAACCAGCATCTGTACAGTACATTAAACACTCATTGTGTAAACTTCAGTTTCAGATGTATACGCCGAAGTAAAGAAACCAAAGAAGAAGCGACCAGATGATCCAAAGGTGTCTGAAGATGTCAACACTGGGGACGTGTATGCAAAACCCAACAAGGGTTGAAGGACACAGGAGTGTGAAATATAACGACCAAACCTTTCAGCTAAAGGATCGTTCCATTCCGACTAAATCATAAACTTGTGGTTTTGAATGACACTCAAATAGTGATGATACAAGTTATTCGCGAAAATGTCAGGCGGAACCTGCCCCATACTCTTAAAATGTTGGATACTATTTTACGCATTCTTGGAAATAATATGTCTCATGAATGCTACATCAGATGCTCATAGTTTATACAGTTGTAACTGTCACTAGTAATGCACGCAATCTTAATTTTCACTCGTAATTTGATCTCGATTTGACAGGATTCTTTCCCATTGCGATCATGCTTATCGAAAGTGACTTTATATTTTGCTGTTTCCACGAAACAGCTGGGTACAGTCTGTATAGTTGGAGAAATTGTTATGCACGGTATATACACTTATTATGTATACTATCGGACAATCACCGAATAACCCTTGCAGTTGCCTTGCATATTGAACATGTTCAGCTCGCTGTGATCTTTATCAAGATGAGTGCCCAATGATAGTCGTACGAAACGACAATTCAATGTATGTGACCTTGTGGATCGTTTAACATGATGCAACACACAGGTTCCGCCGTTCAGGTTCGGTAATCAAGAGGTGACTGCGATGTTTCTGTAATATTACGTTCTACGGCACTGATAACGTTCACTGCTTTTTACAATGCTGAGTTAACATTTATAACACACCTCAGGAAAAATGTGTACGGTGGTTTAGCTTCTATGATATATCTGTCACATTGACAGTTCTAGGAAGTACAATTAAACCGCAATAGTTCG